CGCATCTTCGCACGGGCAGTCCGCGCATTGGCCAGTTATTTTGCTTTGTTGCATAAACTTATCAGTTTGGTAAATCCGCGGCTTCTTTGAGGTGTTACAACAGCAGCACAGTGTTTATCCATCTTCTGATAAGGACGAGACGCACATCATTTCAGGCGGCCCTCTTGTTTTCGTGCCAGTTTGCTCACAAAGAGCATAACATTTACCATTTCTGAGCGCAATTCAGTTTTTTAGCGCAACTCTGCACTTCTCAGCCGCATTTTAACAATGTTCTGGCTAAATGATGCAATAGTATTTTGCATCCACCTCGGATAACCTATTTATCCCTCTAGCAATATATTTTACCTTCATTTTGTACTTTCTTCTGTAGACCGCTTGGAGATCGAATCTTACGATAACATTTAACCAACAAGATACTGCGCGTGAGTAATGAACCCGCTTGGTAGAGCATGGCGCAAGTAATCCAGGAAAAGTACGATTTGGCAAGGGTGCGCTCAGTGGGTAGTTACGTCTTTGTAAATACTGTGTGAACCACACCGACATCTCGGGCGATTCTTGTGACCGCAGTGACGAGCAAGACCGTAGCAGGTCGAACAAAACGAGTTAACAACATTCCAAAGCAACATTTCGAAACTTCCCAAGGCAAATTCACTGCAGCACCACGTGTCTACGACTGCTTTTAGTAAAAAGGCTGTCGCCCGTGCCCCCTTGAATAAATACCTGCAGTGCAAACGAATTACATGAAAAGAAAAAAAAAACTTTAAATAAGAATGGAACGAGACCGGAATAACTGGTATCGAACTGCTTCTGAGGATATTTTGTAGCTAAGAAGGGTGTGTTAGCGCTCATTTCCAGTCGCTGTAACTGATCACCGCTTTGCGTTACTTTTTCATCTACAGTTCCATTCAGTTTTACCTGAAAAAGCATGTGAAAATTTGGCAGTGATAACCAGAATAGTTTTACAAGTTTCAACAATTCTGGCCTGAAATTTGGGACTATTGAGGGCCACTGGACTGGCATGATCTAAAACTGAACAATTTTAAATAATATTCAGCAAACTAACCCGTTCGAGCTGTTCAATAATGCAGTAGAGATATGGAGAATGCGGTAGAAGTTCAAGCACTTTGCCATACCCAGAATCGAACTAAATATTTCGTCAGTTAAAAGTTGAAAAT